GAAGAAGAAGGAGGAGGAGGAGGAGGAGGAGGAGGAGGCGGAGGGGGAGGGGGAGGAGAAGAAATTTAAGAAGAAGAGAAATGGGTTTGAGAGGTAGGGAGGAAGGAGAATGGATAAACTTGGGGACTGGATGTTGGACAGGGCAATAAGCAAGAGAAAGGGGTCTGGAGTGGCATTTAGCTACCTGATTCGGGTTGGTAGAGGGTAAGGCCATTCACTTAAATAGGGAATACAGAAAGAAGAGTAATTTGGGGGGAAAGAGGACGGTTCAGTTTTGGTATGTTTGACTTACATGCTGCCTCTGGTATTTCCACTTGGAGACACCCAGAAGGCAACTGGGTATACAGTTTTCGAGCTTTAAAGACATGGATTTGGGATGCACCAGTGTTACATGAAACCATGGGAGTGAATGAAATTACATAGGAAAGTAAAATTATACTAGAGAGAGAGAAGAGAAGGCTCAAAAGGATGAGAATTTGGTGGACACACATTTTTAGGTAGTGATACTTAACTTTTTGCGGATTGATGAGCTTTCTATAAAAATCAGATGATTTCTAGAGAATGTCCAATTTCAAAGACCTACAAAATGTTATAGTTTCCAAGGTGTTGAGACTCCTGTTGAGGACTTCCAGATTTCAGGTGTTTAAATGATGGAAGAGGAAGGGAGGCCCATGAAGGACAGTGAGAAGAGGAGTCTAATTAGATAGTAGGAAAACCAGATTTCCAACTCATGGAGATTTATTCACCTGAGCTAATGCAATAGCAGATATAAACCAGTTTAAATGAGTAGACTGCTTCTCTTCTACTCCTGATTTTAAAATCAGGAAAGCATAAATGCATATTTAAGTCATTTATTGAATTCTCTTTTTCTTCATAGTCCCTCAGTTAGCAATTGAATTCTCTCTCCATTCTGTTTTGGGTTTTCTTTCTTTGACTTATAGAAGCCATGGATTAATCAACTCAGGAAAGAGAGTTTCTCAGAGTTTATCAACAATCCACAATACTTTTCTCTTCCACAGAGATATAAAATGGGGCTAGAGCAAGGCTAGCTTGCATTTGTGTTTCCTTGGGATCCTTGCTTTTTATGTCACACTTACCTACAGAAGTGATGATGACTGTGAAATGAGCTTCATCTCGCCGTCCAGTTACATTGTTGTAAGCGCAGCACATATAGTCAGTTGTCTTCTGGCCTACTTTCTCAGATGCAACTTCCAAGCGAGGCCCGTGCTTGATGACATATGTTGTATTGTCAGTCCTCTGGATCCAGGAGTAGGTGTTGGGGGGATAAGAATCAGCAGAACAATAAAACAAGATGGCCTCTCCAATGTCAACAGTGAACACTTCCCCTACTTTTAGCCCTTTGTCAGAATTAACTCGAAGTCCATAAGGACCATCTGCATTGATAGAAAAAAGAAACAAAGGGATGGTATAAATAATCACAACATAGTTATAAGTTTGGGAGAGCTCAGAAGCATTTTACTTTCCATGAAAGTCTTCAAGTTAAACTTGGGCAAATCGGTCCTCATTTAGATTCCCAATAAATTGTGAAGACTAAAAATGTGTTATTCTGATATCCATGACAATGGAAATTATTTGAAATGTGATTGAACTTATCTGAGATAGTAAAAGCCTTGCAACTTAGTATATAATTTTAGAGACACTGCCATCATAATTGTATGCTAAACTTTTTTTTCATCATCACGTTTTTAAAGATTTAAATTCAATTAGTTAGCACATAATGTATTATTTGTTTCAGGGGTACCAGTCTGTGATTCATCAGTCTTATATAATACCCAGTGCTCATTACAACACATACCCTCCCCAATGTCCATCACCAAGTTACCCCATCCCTCCACCCCTCTTCCCTCCAGCACGTATGCTAAGCTTTTGAGTAATTAATGTATTGATAAATCTGCAATCATGTTAGACAAGTACCATCTTTCTGAAACCATAATTGTACTTGAAAGCATATTAGAAATAGATTATGGCCATTATTTTCTCATACTTTGAGTATTATGTTTTTTCAGTACTAAGGTAGGTCATGCAAATATTAATAAAATACATAGTTTCACATGGAGCACAGATTTGTGCAAATAGATACAGAAGTGTCCTGTATTTTCATGACACATTAACAATTAAAGAATTTAAAAAACTTTCCCCTGCAAACCAAGCTTAGAATCCTGTTTGGAAAAAATACATCTTCATTATCATTAACAAATATTCATTGATCATCATAAACTACTTAATCATGGATATCCCATGGTGTTTTTCCTTACTGCTATTGTCTTGTGGCATTTTGCTATGTCCATGGCACGAGACTGCCTGTAGATGAAGACATATTTCCATTGCTTTCTTCAGAAAATAAAGACAGAGATTGAAAAAATTTCTGAGCTAGATAAAGTCTTTCTTGTTCAGTCTAAATCCTGGTTTAAATTCTAAAAACTTTAAGGTTTATACATGATTGTGTTCCGTTTTCAGCTGATCATCACCTATATCTGTTGGCTACTTTCCATATGAAAGCACTTTAAGTACTTACACAGACAACCACATTTAATTTTTAAAGTGACCACATGAGGTAGAATTTATTATTCTCATTATAAGATGAAGGAAGAGACATTTAAAAATTAATTTTCCCATGGTCCAAAGTTCTTATATAGCAGAGCTGGAACTCTAAAATATATGCATTTGATCATTCATATTACCTCCCAAAAAATGTATGTCATATAATTTTCTATACCAGAATAGTTTCTTGTTGTGTAACTATAGTATTAGCTCTATAATAAGCTAAAATTGTCTAATTATATATTAATTCTGTATTCAGTTAATCAAGTAATCAATCAACAAATTCTTGTTTGAGAGATACTGTGAGATAATATATTTAATATAAGAGAGAAAAAATGTATAAGATACAGTTCTTACTCTCAAGGAATTAATAAAATGGAAAAGGCTATGGATGGTTTGCTCAGTAATAACCTAATCTCAAAGGTTCTGATTTTTTTTTAAGATTTTAGTTATTTATTTGCGAGAGAGAGAGAGAGTGAGCACAAGCGGGGTGAGGGGCAGAGGGAGGACGGGCAGAGGGAGAGGGAGAAGCAGACTCCCTGCTGAGCAGGGAGCCCAGTGTAGGGCTCCATCCCAGGACCCCGAGATCATGACCTGAGCCGAAGGCAGACGCTTAACCGACTGAGCCACCCAGGTGCCCTGGTTCTGATTTTTTTTTTTAAAAGTACTATTTATCTCTCATTATAGGGAATAATATGATGTAATGATTACACAGTAATCATTATCAGTTATCACTATGTTAAATCCTGATTTTGTCAATAATTATTCAAGTGTTCTTCAGAAATCATTTAAACTTTCAGGTCTCAATTTCCTCACCTTTGCTACAAAAAGGTTGACTGCATGAATGGTTGCAAAGTTCTTTCTCCCTTTGAAATACCTTTGAATAACTGATGCCATGCTAAAGCTATTTTGGATACTGGCAAACCAACCTTAATTTTGCAGATTCCCAGAGTGGTTCTCTTTTGTGTCAGCATTTTCTGACCAATCTACCACTGGGGAAACACATTTCCTAAGATAAAACAGAAACTGAAGATGCAAAACAATAAATTATATTTAGCTAGGGAGCATGAACTTTACACATATTTGCTTCCTAAAGATACAAACTTCTACAGGGAAGCTATAGATTTACACTAATATGTATACATGAGATGATCCTGATTTCAGAAGCCAAATAAAAACGTTAGTATCTTCAAATGTAAAGTAATCAGGAACAGGAGATGGAAGGTTATAGTGAAGAGAAATGAATGCCCTTTCCTGCACTGTATTAGCTGCACTAGAACCCTGTCATGTGGCTCTCTCATTTCAGGCTATGATACAGTCTCTGGGGAAAACCACTCTTTCAGAACTGTGTGCTAAGTGGAACCCTCTTATTCTGAATTCCACTAAACAGTAGGTTGTGTAATGGGAATGAAGAGTTGTTTTCACTCAACCAAAATCAATACTGAGATGTCACTGTGTGCATAGTATTGTTCTAGGCATTGTGGGAGAATCCGAGTGTCATAGACATGATTCCTGTGGCTGTTCTCCCAGGCCCCGTTCAGCAGCAGAATCCCTTCAAGCTGTTAGCATTGACAGAACATTAAAGAAGCAAAGACCACCAACTAGTAAGTACTGGTTATGGTTCACATAGTAGGAAACCAAGAGGAAGAATCAACTAAAGTTTGGAACAACAAGAGACCCGAGTCTGTGCACAAAAACTAAAGTCTAAGAGAGCTTTTCTGCGAGCAGTGATAAACAAAAGTGTGGTCATAAAAATACAGCCATTCAGTTTAAGTCTGTCTTCATTGGCTTTCAGGGTTTACAGAATGTGACTATAAAAACAAATTGCTTGATAATTTGACACACATAAAAATGAGTAATATTCTTTTCAGTGTGCTGACATTACTCAAAACTTTTTTGAGAACTCCTCAGTTGGAATTGCCTTAGGACCCTGCAACATAATGGAGTAGTCTCAAAAGTAGTAATTCTTTTATTTTGGAGAATGGGCTCAATTTGTAAAGGAAGCCCACAGTCACTTACAGCCAAATTTGGTGAATAAGGTTGATTATCTAATTTAATAATATTGTTCTAGTTTAAAATAAAACATGCTTCTAAGAAAGGAATCTCAGCTTATCTTCCCTATACATATATGTATTTTGATTTGGCTACTTCCCCATTTGTTGGGTTTCATGATTGACATAAACTTTTCTCTTCTGTCTTAATTATATGCTATATCTGGTTCTTCAGAGTTAGCTTCAAAATCCTTCAAACTTTCCCAGCCCCCATACAAACATTTCTCCCAGTTCTTGGAACCTAATACCTTGAAGCATTTAAGTTCCTTGCTTTTGGTATGATTTCTTAAAAATATAACATACTTTATCTGATTATATAAGAAATACATGTTTATTGCAGGAAACATTGAAATTCAGAGATTCACAAGGATGGAAAGAAAACTCATTTGTAATTTTACCATTCGAAGAATGAATATCCGATTTCAGTATATGATCTTTCAATCTTATATACTTCTTTCTGTCTCTCACACACACATCTATCTCCTTCCTTCCTTCTTTCCTTCCTTCCTTTTTCCTTCCTTCCTTCCTTCCTTCCTCTCTTTCTCTCTGTACACTGCTTACAGTGTTTTCTTCTTACTACACTACACTTACTACACTATGATGTTATTTCCTTTTTAGCACTTTAGTCTGACCATCTTTTACTTTGAGGTATAGCTGAATGCATTATTCATGAGAATGGGCAATCCAATTGAAGACATTTGGAGTGATTCAACCAGTGTGGCCTCTGACATCGAAAATGAAAGCAGAAGGATAATTCTATTTTGACTTTGGATTATGGTTTAGTTTCTTGCCCTGTGGCAGAGAACTCCCAATAGAAATAAACCTTTTGCCTCAGAAATGGCTGTTTACTAAGTGACTTGTAAAATCACATATCATCTGTTCTCTTTAACAATTTATGGCTGGGTGGGAACAGTACCGAAATTTCCATCATGATGCTGCTTGCAACCCTGCTTGGGAGCAGATGGTAAGTATTTACTGTGAATGACCTTTTTTTTTTTCTTTAATTTTTATCACTTAGAATACTTCCCTGCAGCAGTGCCATATGTTGCACACAAAATGCAGTGGTTACTGGGTTATTATTTACAACGAAGCTGGAAGGCATATACATTTCATGGACTATAAGTAGGTATTTGTCTGAATTACTGACTTGACGTTATATTCCAAACAAGTCCATTACTAGGTTATGACATCATAACCTCATACATACATGGCCAGTCTTAATAGATTCTGTTAAACTTTTTCTGCCAAAATAAAAAATAATTCCTGCTTTCATGAAGGAAGCTGTCACAGAAACAGTGCCTTAAGAAAACAGAGTCGTTAATTAATGCTGAAATTCTAAATTATGATGTGGACCTCCATGGGGGAATATTGGAATATGACATTTTTATTGAGAAACTTTGCTAAAGATCAAAAACAAAAACAAAAACAAAAAATAAAAGGCCAAAGCACTATAATTAGGAAGCTGTTATCTTATGATGGGAATTTAGCCTTGCATCATCAAGTAACACTGGAATCTGAAAGGGATATGAAGAAAGATCATCTGTTCCATTTTAGTCAAGTTCAAGAAACCTGTATCGAGTTCTTAATCTGTGTCAAGTACTGCCCTAGGGATACAAAGATGAATAATGCAGAGTTCCTATTTGGGGTCGGAGTGCTTATGAGTAGAAAGACTCCAGTGCAGTGAGTACCAGGAAAGAAGGTGTTATAGGAGCACAGCGAACCTCTTACTCACACTGAAGAGCTGAAACAAGGTTGGGGCAAGAGAGCCTTTCTGGATAAGA